TAAGCATAATATTCCCTTGTACTGCCAAATAATTAATCTACTAAACGCTCACATAAATAACTACTAATTTGTCTTAGTTAACCTTTACAAACTACGCTACATAATTACACGTTATTAAGAAGCATTTTTCTCATCCTTGTACTGTTTTTTTTAAGGTAACCCATTAGGTAACTAATCATTCATTATAATAATCAATCATTGAATACTTTACTGATCAAGTAATCGCTAGTGCAAATACTTTGCATGAGGTTCCAGATTCCATTCCAGAGTCAAATATAATGAAACTGTTCAGTTTTTGGAAATTCGTAAGAATAGAATCGGAAAATGTGCCCGTGTATAAGAATAGGCTCACTCCTAATTCTAATCCATAGGTCATATCAACTGTATGTTATATCCGGATTATGTATAGTATCTATAAAATACATAAATGTATTAGTTTACAGCACTTCATATGGGCCTATGCAGTCTGAAATAATGATTAATTTATAGCAAATATTTAACTTAACCCTTTCAGGGAACACAAGTCGTGATGTCAAGTTATGTTAATGAATGATTACTGTGTAGTATTTAGTTCAGTAAACGCCTTATGGTGATAGGTAAATCAAGGATGGCGCACGTTCTCTTACGCAAGCGATGCGCAGGCGCAAGGTCTACATAGCTTATTCTATTTTCAATAAATTAGTTGGAATATAGTATTGATATTGGATGCAGGTCGGTTCCAACTGGTATTAGGAGACGCTTATGTTCAGCTGTGGCTTCTTACGGCTGATTTATTTATTTATTTATAAGCACATGTATAATTTTACAGCTCAAGCCAAAACATTATACAGTTAAACAATAAAAAAAATGTGATTGTGATTGTGGTGTTGATGATGATGATAAATATTGGACTGAATCCTATTTTATTTCTTAAATAGTCTATACTCTTTTCCCCGCGCGTCTTAAAGAGCCATCAGATCACCACGGATGGGGTCCAATAGGGCTGATGCCGATACGGAGCCGAGTAAGACTTAACCGGTTGCCAGAGCTACAGTTCGAAGGGCAGGAGTATGAACGGGGTGGTTTTAGTCAGTATGTCACAGTCAAGTCAGTCAGTCCTTGGTAAAACCCAATAGGAGGGTAACAAAATATATGTATAAATGTATGTATGTCGAATTCTCGAGTGAGTAGAATATCGCTAGAATCGAACCTAGCATCTCATTTCACAGTATATTATTATCCTGGTAACATACATATGTATGCTTTAGGCCGAGGATATATTATTCATTACGTATTAAAATTTAATTATCATTGAATTGTTTTCCTATAAACATTCATTATGTAAACACAGTTTCTGTAACGCAGTTTTCCTTTAATAAAAGGTAATCAACCTGAGAGTACATTCAGTAATTATTGCATCAAGTCCTTGACACTACTTAGCATCATTGATTTGATGTGGCTTTGTTTTTAATTAACTTCAGTGAGATGAAGCTACTGTTGCTACTTTTAGAATAAAAGTACTGTTACAGCAAATTAAGTAAAATCGCGGGTTACTCACGTGAATATACTGAGAAAAGCTCTACTAGTTTCGATCGTCACTGATCAGTGAGCTGCGCGAAGTCGCCGCGACCGCGCATGCTGCTCATGAGGAAGAACCCCTCTGTGGTTCGAAACTAGTACCTAGAGCTATTCTCAGTATTTTCACGTGTGTAACCCTTACTTCATTTAGTATGTCTCACGATAGTTATTATAAAAACATACTGTAATAGCAATAGTCCCGTATGCAATTGTAATGAATGTGTGTTTAATTAATGAAAGATGTTTTCGTGTTTTTTGTGGTCTATGCATACTTGATCTAAGCATCGAGTCAATATTTTGGAGTTAATCATTTTCAATGGAATATAATTAACTAGTCGATAACTTGAATCATACTTAAATTCTGTTATTTCTGTGATATTTTTAAGGCTCTCTGATGTGTGTAGATGCAGTAAGACTAGTGATATATTATGAATGGTCACCTATCTACAAATTTGATCCTCGTATAGACTAGATAAACATGATTACCTAGCTGACTGTAACAAGTTATAAACATCTCAAAAAATAATTACTTAAAGCACTTATGATATTTCGTAACTTTAATATTGCGTCATAGATATGCAAAAATACATATTTAGGTAATAAGTGTGTATTTTTATAGGTATTCGATTCTTTTATCCCAACGTGTGTGTGTCTAAACGTGAATCCACGCGAAGCACAATGTATTTACTATTGTATCTTATATACGGTGTTCAAGCTGTTATTCATTACTTTACGTGAAAATGTTTGCTTCTTGCCATCATTTTGTCTCTGAATCACACAAAGGTTTGGCTGGAAAAATTATCCATGGCATTAAGCCCACCTATGTACATATTTATTTTATTTTTATTTTATTAACGCTTCATGCACAAGGTGTACACAAGGTGGACTTAATGCCGCAGGCATTTTCTCCCAGTCTGACCTTTGGGTGATGCAGAGAAGAGTTAATGGTAGGAGCAAGAAGCAAGCAACGATTTAATTGAGAAAATAGAAGATTACACTAACATATTTCAAATATGAACATAAATAAATATAATAATAATATATATACCTACACACGAGTACACTACAATATATATACATACATACATACATACATAGACTCATAGCATATAATATAAATATGAACATAATTACTAATACTCTGTAAATAATTATTGTGACGATTCAGCCAACCTCTTCAAAAGAAGCTCACGCACTTTCTGCTTAAATGTTAGACGTGTCGACACCATCCTGACATCCAGGGGGAGCGCATTCCACAGCAAAATTGCCTGCACGAACATATTTCTGTCCATAAGACCTTAAATAAAATAAATAATAATGTTGACATAACGACGGAATGCAGAAAATACAAACATTTTACAGCGATGTCCTTTATTGTTACGTAATACAGAACATTTTACAAGACATTACGATAATTATTATTATAATACGAACGACCTTTCCTTGATTACAGTCCCCCGATATGGAAAAGGATTAAAACATAATTACATTTTAATAACGATTACGTAAACAAATGACTTCCTTGGTTCGTATTATATAAATGTTCGTTTGTTTGTATAAAGCATAGAATAATAATTTAATATTATGTGGATATTGTACATTCCTTTCTGGAACCCCAACTTTCCAACAATATTGATTTTCAGTAATAAAGAAATTTAGGGTCTTTTTTTAAGGGGAAAAATCACTGCTCCTGCCTGGGTGAGGCGGGAGGGAGTGTCAGACTCTTACTGACTAAAAACCACCCCGTTCCTTCTCCTGCACGTCGAGCCGGAGCCCCGGTTACCCGTTAGGTTCTCCGCGACTCCGAATCGGCATCGGCCCTGTTGGGCCCCATCTGTGGTGGTCTGATGGTTCTTTGAGGAGCACGCGGATCGCGACGCGCCGTACGCTCGAGCAATTTAGGGTCTACAAGCATATAATTAAAATGTTTGTGTTTAAAATATTTTATCGCGGATCAAATGTCAGATCACACAGTCAAGGCTCACTTGATATTAGGTATACATTGTCAAACCCGAGATTATTTAAATAAAAAGTAGAGGAAATCATAAATTTAGACTTTTATGGGTAGAACAAAGTCACAGTATAACCTTAGTTATTGATAATAATTATTATAAATTAATAACTCTGCCCAGCTGCGTATGCGTCGCATCCGGAAACATAATAACTATCACAATACTATAGTGATGACTAGTGAATGCTCACAACATAAGGTCCGTGAGAAATATGTATGAAGGTAAGTAATTATTATAATTTATAGCTGTGATCCTATTGTGATGGTTAAATGTCAAATAGTTTATTAATAAGATAAGTTTAAAAAGAGTAACGAATGGAGTTTCTTGCTCGTTCTTCTCCATTTGGAATGAGCACCTAGCTTCACCTAGCTTCACTGACGGACTGACTGACTGACTATGATTTATTTTGTATTTGTTGACGTTTCAAAAGTACCAAATTATGGTTTAATAGAAATAAATGCTTTGAATTTTTGAGTTATCATTTTTTTCTATTATAATCATTAAATGGTACCCAATGTTCACATGTACTCCCGATCTCCAGATCTTTCCTAAAGATTTTAAAAGTAAAATGGATCACCTCTACTATAAGGAACCTTTAACATTAACAGGTGAAAAATGAGTGACATTGTATCTGAGACGTGCATTGCAAACGTCTGAATACTCATTCCATTAAGGTTTCTAAAATATTTTCGGAATTGGAATCAAACTGAAGATTTTAAAACTAACATACAACTAATATTTTAACATCATTAAAATATGGTCGCAAGACTACATTGTTTACAATAACAAACTTAATTACAATAAGATAAAGTTTTATTTTGTCTAGGACGATGCCCGATTTGCCCTGTGTATGAAATTAATAGCATCATAATATTTTGATAACTTTGAAATGATTGTATTTGTATAACTTTTGTTTTTTTTCCTGTATTTACGATTATGTCATCATGTAGTTACAATACCTTTTGTATTTTTTTTTCTGTACTTAATCCAGACCAATTATCTATTTAATCTTCTTTAATGTCAACATTAGTGGTATGACTATTTTTATAGGATAAACAAGCAGATGGATCACCTGATAGTAAGCAATCGGCGTCGCCTATGGACACCCGGAACACCAGATGCGTTACAAGTGCGTTACCGGCCTTTTAGGGATTAGGAGTTTGGAATTAAGGGATTGGGGACTATTAAACTATAAAATTATTTCTTCAAATAAAATAATATCTGTGACCTAAATAAAATTGCTAATTAGTTGCATTCCGTTTCTTCAATAGAGTACCGTCAGGAAGTAAGAACAATATGCATAATTAGCAAAATCCGTCAATTCAGACAAAAGTGCCAAATAGGACCTCGTCGAATTCATAAATCGAGAACAGTGTAGTACGTTCAAGGACGCGAGATAGGTCGGGTAGGGGGGCATCACTAGCTCGTGACCGGCGCGGCCAAATGTCAATATAGTCTCTCTTGGAACTGCGCTGAGAACGCGCGCGTAAACAATCGAGATTCGAACACGAATCGAAATAATCGAACACGAAAAAAAAACACCGAACAATAACCTAACTTTTCAACTATTACTCTGTGATAAAGTGAACCAGCTTTTAACTTAGAATCGATTTGAAATTCTAAATCGATTGTTTCCAGTGCAGTTGACATTTCGTATATACATATTTTTAGATAATTACTAGGAAAAGGTGAAGCCGAGTGAATGTGGTTCCATCGTAATCGGCATTGTATCGATGATTAAATAGTGGGAATTATTTTTTCGATGCAATTGTTCGATTGACAATTTCCTCTAGTAATTAGTCGTTATCGATTGTTTCTCGATAAGTGAGTAATGTTAGTTTGAGGGACTGTGTGTGTGTATCATGGCTTGTAATCGTATTTTGTTGGTGTGTGCTTCCTTGCTATGGTTGCAGTTTGCTGAAGTTAATGCACAGGTAAGAAGAAATTATGTCTCTAGATAGTTAATGAAACATTCATTGCTTTTATTTTTTAATCTAGGTATATGAGATATATCAATGCTAAAAGTGCTTTGGAAGATGTTCAAGTCATTTTAAAAACTGTTGTGTCCTTAACTATTTTTAGTTTTAAGCTTAATTCATTTTGTAATTTACTATTCATTAATTTTCCTTGATTAATGAAAACTATATAATGATTATGGTCATATTTAGATGCGTGTACATTATCAAGAGTTTCCGCAAGAAAAAGTATGTAAAGGTCGCACAACCGCATGTAAGGTGCGTCTGCGTACGATCCGTGTTAAGTGCTCTCCACACATACGAACAGACAAAACAATATTTAATTAAGTATTACCTTAATTATTTAATATATGTTTTGTATACATATATCATATCTCTTCCTTCTCCAACTTGTCTATATACCGCGGCCTTGTGTCGTGGTTAAAAAATAATTATATATTTAAAAACATAATACGGTAATTACCTCCTCGTCATACGCACCTAACTGCTATTGTTAACAATTAAACTGGAGTTAATATATGCACATAATTATATATACAACGTCACTTCTATATAATATATCTATATGATATATGCTTTTGTGTATATTTTAATGATGATAATCTGCATTTTGAGAAGTATTTATGGACAGAATTATGTTAATTAGGAATGTGCTTCGTTATTGAGTGTGTGCAGTGTGCATAGCACGTTTTAAATCGAAATACATTAAGTTTTGTTTGTATTGTCATTTATGTCATGTCTTGTCTGGTATATTGACATTTAATATTTTAAACGTGATGTTTACTGCTTCGTTGCCTGCCTCGTTGGCCGAGATGTCGTAAGTGCTACTGCCGGGCAAGAGATCTCGGGTTCGATACTCGGGTCGTGTAAAGTATTGCTGTGTTTTAAAAAAATCTCAGTATTAGCACGGAGTGTGGTATTGTGGACAGTATATGGCAAAAGATTCATCTACTATTACACAGGACTCATAACATAAATAGTGAAAAATGAGTATTACAGTGTACAGTGGCCGTAATGTGCACCTCTGCCCCTGCCAAAGGGGTACCCCTATGGGGATAAACGGCTTGACGATATTCATTTTATCTATTACATAATATAGATATAGATAAACATACTGTTATTATCCAGTAAGTAAGTAGTTTTATTTCTTTTGGGGAAAGAAAATCATGATCGTATATTCACGATTCTCATTCGATGTTCTAGTTTTATATATTGCTGAAAACTCCCCCAAAAATTACGAAACATCGCGACGTAATTATACAACACATGTTGTTGATGATTTTTGATAGTAAATAATATATGTATGTTAGATAAACTATTTTAATGCGTTACCTTCAGCTGAGACTGTGGGTGTAAGTTCAAGAGCCATCCGTTAGATATTGTCATTCAGGTAATGTATGCGGGCCCACTTACTATATCATCTCTTTATAATATACTGGTTATAAATATACACCGTTCCATTGATCTAGTGGCCTTAAGAATGACTACTGTGTAAATTCAAAATTGTATGTTGTTGACGGTAGGATAATTTGTTCATTATCATCTTGATTTTGCTTAAATATATACAAATTACTATTATAACCATGTTATTTTATAGTTTTAGTCATATTCTTGTATACTATTAAATGAACAGCTTAAGTAGTGAGTTAAAATCACGCAGCCACTTGTAGTACAAAAGACTTCAACGCGCCGCACCTTTGTACTTCGCTCAAGACGGTGCAATATTGGAGTACAATACATACATACCGCTACATTTTAACACTTAAACTTGTTTTAAACATATTTATGTTAATTTTCATCACTTGTTCAAATGAATACAAATTCCATTGTAATAAAAATAAAGATTTGGTTATCAAGGAGACTTGACATTTGACATTATACACAGAGTATTGACTCTGTGTTCTATATAGATAATATAATTGTTTGTTCTAAGAGTAATCTTATCAGATGTTTTTGTTTGTTATAATTTGGTTGAAGTATAATATAGTATACATTTAAATTAATGTTAAATAACGACATGTCTTAAAGAGATTATTTAAAATAATATAAAAGACAATAGTTAGGGTTTTTTTTAAGCGGGTAAAATCATCGAATGACTGCTCGGGGGAGTGTCAGACTCTTACTGACTAAAAACCACACGTCTCACAATAGTTAATATAAAAAAATATAATGTTACGTTCAGGCATTTACTGGCAAACTGATCATTTGGTTTCAATAACTGAATAGAGCTCTTATGTAATACCTAAGCATCAAGCTTGATAGACTATTTTGTGATCTGTAATAGTAACAGGGTTATTACAGCTCATTATGATCTATTCAAAGGGTTGCAATGTAAGTTATTATTGCGTAGGCGCATATACTATACATTCAACTGTAAAATTAGGTCACCATTGACAATGATGTATATTTTAATGTATATGCTCAGAAATATTAAGGAGTCGATTGATTGGAAAATAGTATAAGTTTTACATTGATGAAATTAGATACTAGTGTTTGTATTTAGTAGATTTATTCATTTGATTAAGTACAGTAGTGGAGATTAACGATTTCTTTTGAAATAATTTTCATTTTCATATTTGTATTGTAACTTTCGTGAGACATACTAAATAAATTATTATACCGTTAGACTCCAGTAGCACCGCGACAGTCGCCGCGTGGCGGGTCGCGAAATGCTGCTCATGAATATGAGCCTCTAGCATGTCTTGAAACTAGTCGAGTTCCTCGTCAAATTACTACGTGAGTATATAAGCCGAAAATATAATAATTTATTTCATTTTCATGTTGTACTATTAAATTTCATTGATTCTAAATGCTTAGTGCATAGTTTGTATCGGTATACCTCTATACTGCAGTATAATTCTAAGTATCTACTTATAGTGATATGTCGTAATTGTTGAAGGATCAGAGGTGTTGAACGTACACCTACAGTACAATGTGCATTGCACAGGACATTACAAGGAAATGTATTCAAATCAACTGACTTTGATTTATTGATTGTATTTAGCATTTTGCAAGATAACTGAATATGCAGATAACATAAGTGGATATTGTAATCTTATCCCATAAATTAATAAGAGAACTTCATACAAGTAATGTGATAGTGTAGAGGTAAGGTGTAAATAATGTGAAATATTAGTGAATTGATTATTATGTTTTTCGGCTTACTCACGTAACGTAATTATTTGACGAAGAACTCGACTAGTTTCAAGTCATGCTAGAGGCTCATATTCATGAACATCATTCCCCGACGCTGCTACGCTGAAAAACGTAAAAATTAATTTAGTATGTCTCACGAAAATTATAATATAGTTAAATTAGTGATTTGCATGGAATGGAATATACACAACTGTCTATCTACAATGATCTAATATAAGTATTAAAATATTCTTTATCTCAATAATTACATTTCAATATAACTTTATATGCATTTTTCAATAAAGTTGTGTTTTTAGACAAATACTTTTGTATAATAATGAAATCGAAAGTCTATAATAAAATTACTGCTTACTACCTACCTATAGCTGAAAGCGCTCGTGTCCGTACTTTATTAAAATTGAAGTGACATCCTTTCTTCCGACTTCCACGTCACGCCACGCAGCCTGCGGGCAGCATTACAATTATTATGAAACAAAATAATATTAAAATTACCGGACACAGCGCATTATCCGTATCACGATTATGTTCCGTTTTATTGTCTGTCCATACATTTTATTATCGTTGTTACGATCGTAAACGTAAGCTTAATGTGTGCATTATAATTATAATTTTGTAATTTATTAGTTCTTTCTCTAGGTAATCTAGACTTTGATCTAGATTATTGAAATGTTGGGGTCAATGTGCGGGCTGTTATTTAAGTGTTATGTAATTGATGTTAATGTACGCTTCTCACGTCTCTTAATATCAGATCAGTTAATCTTTTAAGATGTAGACAGAGATGCTTTGAATTGGTAATTTATTGCAATGAATAAAACGACGACTGGTTACTGGTGAGTAGCGATCTTAAACTTCAATATGCTTCGGAGAAAAACGAAAAGATATATATTATATTTTTTCAATTTGGAGATATAATTTCACGACTTATGCTCATTTTCACATTTTGGTTTTCACCTATATACACATAAGTGACACCGAATATAATAAATTCGTTCGACGTGGAGGACTGAGGGGGAAGCCTTTGTCCAGCAGTGGACGATGATGATCCAGCAGATCTTTCGGCAGTTGATGATTATGATGATAATGACGATGACACCGAATATTATAAGTTAGGGGTTAGTTTGGGTACTACGTCACACGTGACTATAGTCACGTGTGACGTAATGAATTTTAGTTAGGAGATGGTTTAAGGGTGGTTTGTGTAAAAGGCCATTAAACTCTTAATAGCCCACTATTAGGAGTTACATATACAGGTCATTATTTCAACACACGACTGTTAATCTTGAATTGAAAATCGTGAAAATCTTGAATTTGGTCACGTAGAACAAATACCTAAACTTATTCAATATTCAATAACTTTTTAAAGTTAAAATAATTAACATAACATAACATAACATCACGCCTTTATCCCCGAAGGGGTAGGCAGAGGTGCACACAGAAGTAACACCCACTTTTCACTATTTATGTTATGAGTCCCATGTAATAGGGGGTGAGCATATTGCCATATACCGGGCACAATTCCAGACTCCGTGCTACTACTGAGATTTTTTTTAAAAACCCAGTAATACTTTGCCCGACCCGAGAATCAAACCCGAGACCCCTTGCCCGGTAGTCGCACTTACGACCACTCGGCCAACGAGGCAACCATTAATACCTATTAGTATTAAAATAATTAGTACCGTCTTAAAATTAAATAGGTATTGGATCCAACAACCAAAGAGTAACACTTACTTCCGTAAATCCGGACACACGACATTTAACCATAGACAAAAGCTCACTAGTCTCAAACAAGATGGATTGATCCA